AATAGTTCATCCCTAACTCCAGCTCCAAATCAATTCGTTGGTTGATTGAGTTACCATTCGTGGGCCAGCTTTCAATGAGTTCTTCGCTCGTCTTGTTTTCGGCGTGGTCGTGTATCTCCACAGCTACGAAGCTGGACTCAACCCGCTGCATAGATGTGAACAGCAACTTGCAATAATTTGTCGACCCACCATACAACCAGCTTATGTTCATTTATGCGCGCGGCGAGCATGTGTTCAGCTTGGCCTATGTAATTACAAAGTATGGGATAACATATACCACACAACCTCTTTGGAGTTAAGCCGAACTTTGATTTTCATTCCCCTGTTTCTCATGGTAGCTTTGGGTCGCTGTGTAATTCCAAAACCTAGTTTCGCAGAGATGCACTCAGTCGCTTCTAATACGTTCCTGAGCGTGCCATATCCTCGGCAGTGGTTCTCTTTGGCTCCTTCGTGGCCAAACGCGTAGGCATATGGCTAATAAACACATTTGAACATCCATTCCGCATAAATTGCCCGCGGAGATTTCGACCGAGAAATGATTGAAGCCTGGTCTGCGGATGGAGACTCAGTCAATCGGTGTATTGATCTAGCGCTGGCATGCAGAGTTTTATGCGACCGCCTTAAGGCGTACGTCACCTATAATTGTCTTGTTCATACACAGTTTTAATTGCCACATTTTAGTTTCTACGGTTACCGTTGGCAGTGAAGTCCCGTACGCGTTTGAAAGCGCAGGGTAAACTCTTCCGGCGTTTGACCCTTCTTCTTTCGTTTACTCGCAGTAGCCTTTGGCAGTCCATAAATTTAATCGTATTCTATCTAAATGGGCACAAACCAACCAACTTACCTAGAGGGATAGTCCCTCCAGGTACCTAATGCCTCCTCTTCTACCATGTACACGTACAGGTTTCCTCCGAGGCTGCCATTTCGCCCTCGTTTGCTGCTGGGGCTCCTGAAGCCTTCATGGACGAGGAAGGGGAGGAGGAAGACGACGAAGAAGAAGTCAACGGCAAAGTGCAGGCGGAGTTGGCCAAACCCTCTGACAAACCCTCTTCAGTTTCAGTCGTAGTAGCGAGCAATGGCGACACCCAGGAATCTGGTCCACTGCCACCGCGACCGCCTCAACAGAGTCGATCTAAAGTAAGTTCCAAAAATTCAGCAGGAATTTCTTATATGCCACTGCCCCCGCCACGGTAGGGCATGGAAATAGGAGAGCAGCCAAGAAGCGAGTTTCACAAAGCACAGTTTAGGAGAAGAGAATGCGATCGCTGGAACAGGAAGTTAATCAGTCTGATGTTTTGAGTTCTCGTTTGAACTAATCACCATCAGAGACAATCGCGAGTAAGGGTAATGAGGGTTATATAGGTTGCCAATAGAAGTGAATATGCGAGTGCCAGGAAACAGTTCAGAAGAGGAAGAAGATTTAATCACTGGAACAAGAGTTTTATTTTCCTGACGTTTCGGATTCTGTCGAGCATCCTTAATCATAGGAAA